ATTCAAACTTATTTCTTCCCAACAATATTGTCTGAAACATTAGGCACCTTAAGCATGCAGGTCGGCAACACGACGACGACGAGGCTGAAACACTTCGTCAATAAATGCTATGTGGTAAAACTAAAGATTGTTGTATATTATAAATCATATCAATTCAATGAGGTACAATATAAGTAAAAATCGTTGAAAACATTGGGTTTATGTTTTGGAACAATTCTATAGAGCCTAATTCGAGTTAGCGCTCCCTGTGTCCTGAAATACACACGTTAACGTTCTACACACGACTTGAAAATCAACGTTTTGCCGTTCTAAGCAGAACGTTAATTGACGTTCTTTTCAATGACTCGTTGTATGTTTAGCTGTGCCCCCGTGTTATATGCTTAAAGGCGATTCGCATTACCGTCCGTCTCACGTATTCCACGGGCTAAATTTTCAAGCGAAATATTTCGTCTGCTTCTTTTGAATTGTGAGCAATGAAACAGAATTAATTTATTCAAGTGGTCGAAATTCATTCAAAAGACACAGGCGAAATATTTCGCATTTCGCCGAGAAAAAGTGCCCGTGGAATTAGGCCCTAATGGAGAATCGCCTTAAGGTCTCTAATACCCATCAAACAGGAGGAAGCGACGATACTAGAAATACATGCATGCAGCAACCCCTCGCCTCGGTTAAACAAAATTAGTTAATGATTGTTAGAAATTTTATGTGGTTTGGGGGTTTTGGAGGGTACATGGTATGTGAGAAATAAAAATTGAGAAAAGTATGGAAATATTTTTCTGCACGTGGAAACACTGTAGTCATAGCAACTCGCAACGGCCGTATATTTTTTTAAAAAGAATCAAAGTTTACCCCATAGGCAGCCCAATTATGTATGCATGTTTATATACTATATATATTATATATAAGGTTGGCAACTTTACGAGCTCTGACGAAGTATACGATGTAAACAATTGAAAAATATACGCACAAACGCTGATGAAAATTAAAAAAAAATGTTAAAAAACAAAACAATGATAATTTTCCTCAATTCTCATCAAAAAATTTTGTTCAAATAGAGTGGATAAGTGCGAAAATATAGGCAATTTTTAAAGCATTTGCTGCCAAAATTTCTTGTCTTGATGCGGGATGCCAAGGGTGCCGGTATTCGTCATTTTTTTAAATACAACACGCAATATGATTGGGCAGAAAAGTATAGAAAAACATTCTGCCCAATCATATTGCGTGTTGTATTTAAAAAAAATGACGAATACCGGCACCCTTGGCATCCCGCATCAAGACAAGAAATTTTGGCAGCAAATGCTTTAAAAATTGCCTATATTTTCGCACTTATCCACTCTATTTGAACAAAATTTTTTGATGAGAATTGAGGAAAATTATCATTGTTTTGTTTTTTAACATTTTTTTTAATTTTCATCAGCGTTTGTGCGTATATTTTTCAATTGTTTACATCGTATACTTCGTCAGAGCTCGTAGAGTTGCCTACCTTATATATAATATATATAGTAAACTATATAAACATGCATACATAATTGGGCTGCCTATGTTTACCCTCGTATTTTTGTGAAAAAATGGCAAAATACGACAAGATTCTTACAATTTTCTGGACGTTAAGTTACTCATCTATAGTCAGTGTTATGGTAAATTATTTTAATTATTAAATACCATGAAATATAACATCAGACGTCTCATACAACGCTTCGACTGGTTTTTGTACGGGAATGTTTTGATTTTGTTTTCTTTTTGTCATTAGGAAAACGAAGTTTATAAATAAAATTATAATGTCGTTTATCACATAACACATTCAGATTTATAGTGAAATACATTTGAGAATATTTTTGAAGCTGTGCCGGATCAAATATTATCAAGTGTAAAATCTTCCGACTTCATTATACACGGTGAATTCGGTCGAAAATTTGGTCTTGTTATTTGTTAAACCGTGAAAATTCCTGACCTCATTCGAGTTTCCCTCTAATTTAGTAAAAATACATATATTCCATATTTATAAAAGTATAAATTTATAAATTTCACAAAAATTTTGTTAAATGACAGTTATTCATTGACGTTTGAAAATACAAATTTTTGTCTGGACCAATCAAGAGCTTAGTAGTTCACACTGGCGCATGCGCATAACGTAGAAGACCGTCCATGGCGTGAGGTCCATTGCATAATGGCTTTGATTTCGCATTCGCATTTTGTGGTGTAAATATCCGAGCGGAATTAGTACCCTCGCACGGTGCTCCGCACCGGCTCGGGGATAATTATAAGTAGCAGAGGCTGGTTGGTTGGCTACATTCATGTATTCTCATGGAGCTGTACTCTGCAATAATATTTCATATGTTAATGTGGCGACATCTATACAATAGCGATACATAAAAATCATTGTCTCATGATTAGTAACATTAATCATGCATGTCGCCATTGAATTTTCTATTGTGTTTCACCTTAAGAAAAATAACAACGTAAATAAATGTAAATATAACATATAGATGAAAAATCCTTTTTAAGATATCATATCATAGACAAATAGTGAGTACTAGTATGCCTTTCGCTCGAATTGTTGGGAACTCGTCAAAGAGAACCCAATACAAAACACACTGATGTGGCAGTAAAAGTGGCTACATGCCATATAGCGTCTAAACCGATCGTCACTATAATTTATAATCATGTTGCGATTTCATGATTAACGCATGTATTGTAAAAGCTTACACTCAATTATTATTCTTATTGCACGCTTACCTGTAATAACAACAGCAAAAATCGGCTTGTATTGTATATATTCTGCTAGATGTTGGTGGATGGAATTCCTGATATGAAATGCTTGTGGTCTGTCAAAACGAATCGGTCTTTGTCCTATAATTAGCATTATTCATAATGCTAAAAGTGGCCAAAATGCATTCATATTGCACAGCAGGTCACAAAGGCATACTCTCTTTCAAATATATAGGCTTGCAATCATTATCTACCGTGTCTGTCCAGTAGATATTTGAAAGGAACAAAGAATCTAATCATTAAAAATGTTTCGTTTTCTCACCCAGTGCTTCTTTTAAGGATTTAGGAGAACAAGGTGGGGACAAGATCCCCAGGTTAAGAGAGACCATTTTAAATTTTACTGACCTCAAAATTCGGTATAAAACATATATTATACGTTAATATGGAACTTTCAACGGTCATGCAGTGTTCCATGACTAAAAAATTGACTATATATAGTAGTACAAGGCTGACAGGAGATTGAGAGATTCCGAAAAAGTTCCTACATGAGCGTAGCAAATTATTTTTCATACAGTTTGTTAACTATATACATTGTTTGTGAAAAAATTAGTCTCCCTGTTCTCCTTTATCGTCCATTAGAATAGTTACCACTTTGAGTTTACCGAGCTTTCTTAGCTTTTACAAACTGTTTTTCACTTAGCTTGTTCTATGTGCAGCGAATTTCTTTCAATGTGACTGTGTTTTCTAACTCATCACGTTTTTCTTCCTGAGATTCTTTTATAAGTCTCTCATTCGGCTCTGTGAACAGATCTTTTTCCCCATGGAAAATCTTTTCCCAGAAGAAAGACAGCACGCGTACGTGGAATGCCAATCTGAAGCCGATTACTATCGAGGTTGGACAGCTGTCACGTGAATTTCTCGACCAATGAGATTGCGCTATTTTCCAAGCGTGCTTGCGAAGATTTTGAGCGAGAAAATTTACATAAGACGGAGAAACATAAAAATATTGAGTATATTTTTTAAAGTTTACTGATTAAAACGCATATTTTTTGAAAAAAGATTCATTGGACTGGCGATATCTGTCGAGATTATCGAGGTAAGCGTTACTTTTTAAGTCGATTTTTATAACTGAAGTTGGTCGGGTCGTTCCGAAGTGATGATGAGTCATGTGCTTGTCTGTTTACAATTTTCAAAGTTGAAAATCTCGAATTCCTGTGGTTCGATTTTTGAGATTCTTTGTAAGAATGAAGTTAAGTATGTAAAAAAAAATCGGCTGGATCGACCCCTTGCGACCCCACCCATTTCCGAGATATCGGGCTTTGAATTTACCACTCTTGTTTTGAGATGTTCAAAATAGCGCATTTCGGTCAATGGGATATTTCCCTTTCAAATATTGTTTAACTACATAATTTGTAATATTAATGTAAATTTTATTTGTATTCATGGTTTAACTTCCTTAGTTATTAACATTTAGACGGGAAAATAGTATTTTTTTGTATTTTATATAGATTTCCATTTTTGGCAGTGACGACTCCTATGCTCATTCGCTAACGCCTAGCTGTAATCCCACAACGTGGTCAATTGAGTGTTAGATCAGCACATTTCAAACAGCCAGAAGGCTTACCACCACCACCACCTTCACAAAATTGATAAATATGAAACATATTGTGTGATTATATGTTTTCACTTCTTCAGTAAAATAAACTGACATTTTATATTGGTTCTGTTCTTTAGATGCTTGTTGATGTTTACAGTTAGTGTGAGTTAAGATCTGCATTACTAAGCCATTGTGTGTTAGAACTGGCAATATTTATGTATATTAGGTTGATTGAAAAGCTAAAGGCATGAACACCTTATCTAGTACAATTGATCTTCAAGTTTGCATGAATTGTAAATGCTATTAGCATAGAAACAATAGCATAGAAACAAAAAACAATGGTGTGTGTATGCAGGTTTTTACTTTTTTGAACATCATGTAAATATATGTATAAATGCAAAATCTTGGCTGTTTTGTCAAGGCAATTTTACTTACAATATTTTATAACCATAATAAAATTTGATGAGTTTATTTATTTGTTCATCAATAAATACAGATTTACATATTTATACCATGTATTGTATGAATATTTTTCTAATTTTCTTAATACTGCAAGGGTTTGTATGAAATATCACATGACAGTGAAGTGCTTTGGTTATAGACAATAGGTTTTGAGGATATAAAATAGAAAGCCTGGTTTCCATACAACATTGTCAGGGTGTTGTGTTAACCATTAAGAAAAATCTATCATTATTAGTTATTATGCAACAACTTGATTGTCATATGGAAACCAGACTAAAAACAAGTTGATGGCAAAAATGCTGGAAAAATCTACATAGGTTAGCCAATGGAAATAATTGCAGAAATTCACAACTTGCAAACCCTGGTTCTTATGAAATTATATGTCAACGTACACTCATACTAGCCCTTACAATCTGACCTTCCCATTTACCACGCCTCTTTATCCAGATTTTTGGATAAAATCCTATTTTTAAAAAGTTAACCCGAAACTTGATGTGTTCAACATAGACGTCTAGTATATCTCCTGCTGCAATCAGTGGATGTAAATACTTGCAATGTTCAGAAGCTATATATCCAACATTTTCCCATTGAGTTCCATAATGAAGATCAATAGCAATTGCATTTTGGTCCCGAGGATTCTCCGGCTCTGGTCTTAGTCTAACATTTACTGATTCATTATATTCAAGGGCAAGATATGCCTGTTCCAGATGATGTTGGTAACTTTGTTCATGAGCAGCTCCAATGCACTTGAATGGTAGAGCATGAGTGATTTCTTCCTCATCACTTTCAACTTCTTCACTTTCATCTTCTTCACTGTCCTCATTATTAATTTCGATGTCATCAAAATCAGGAGTAACCGCATCCACAGCGCTCGTATTTTCTGTCAATACACGATCCACATCAAAATCCCAAATTAAAAGCATTCTCTCCGCTTTACAATGAATAAATTCATCAGGGATAGTACCAAACTAAAAAAAAGTTTCAGTTAAATTTTAATACACAAATCAAGCCTTAAAAGTTAATAAAAAATATTAAAAAATGAGGTGTTGACAAGTACTTTATACTAACCTCAAATATAGTACTTGCTTTAACGTTGATGACACAAGGAGATTTAAGGCCATTCAACTTCGAAAGCAGTGCTTCGGTGTTTGGTATAATACAAAGTCTTCTTTCAGACGGAGTATTATGAAAGGCGAAATGGCAGCAAAGCCCATGCAGCTTAAAAAACGGTAAACTCGGTACAGTAAAAGATAAGTCGTAATGCGGATCGCAACAATACATATACATCATAGTATTTTGCACTATCGCAGCTTGAAAATCCTGTCTTTCGAAAGCATCCATTTTTCCTATACTCGCAGAGCTCTTCACATCACGACAGTCAAAACGTCAAATGAAGCGTTCGCATAATTGAGCGCTCAATACCCATCATGCTTTGCGGCCTGCTGTCCAACCTCCTCTGCCGGAACCTGTTGGATTCATCTGGGAACTTGTTTTGAATCAGGGGTGCCACCTCGTGCGCGACATCAAGCATTATGGCCATCACTTTAGTCGTTATTTCAATAAAGTAAACAAAAAGAGCCAGCCAATAAATGAAAAAATTTGAATTTTTACCGAGGCAATCTTTCCACCAAACGATCGAGAAACGGGTTGCGTTCATCGTTTTCGCCCAGTGTACGCGAGGTAAGTAATTCAGACAGCAAATGATCAACACAATGACGGGCATCCAGAGAAACACAACGATTGAAATAAGAGTGCTGGTCGTCTCTGATCTGGTGGTGTGAATTCGGATGATATAATAGACAAGTGATGTCAGGAGCAAAAATATGAACGATCCAAAGTATCCCTTTTTGTAAATACTCTTCGCTTTCTCGGTTTGGTAGTTCATCTTCTTGTGATTCAAGCAAACGATGGCGATGAACAGCAACGAAGCTATGATGGATATTATGAGCCATGCAAACACCCAGTGTCTGGGATTCGCGATAAAGAAATCTTGGGAGCAATTTATCACCGAAGCTTGCTCGAAGACAATGCATTTCGTGTCGAATATGGAGAAGAATATTATGGAGATAAACCAGGGGATGGACAGGAGGGCGAAGATCACCTGTTAAAGAATACTTACATTTACACAGCAATACAGAATAACACAAGCGTAAAATCATTCAGAAGTCATGGCACAGGTATAAATATATAACAGCTGTTAATATAGTTCCAATATAACCAAGGAGTAGCGTGGCAGTGTCTTCAAACAACTTAGCATCAAATGTGGTATAACAACTGCCTAAAATCTAAATAGACAAAACACTTCACGACTTTTCGACCTGAGGGCCTTCGTCAGGAGAGTTAGTATATACATGCTAACTCTCCTAACGAAGGCCCTCCGGTCGAAACGTCGAGAAGTGTTTTGTCTATTTAGGCAGTTGTTATACCACATTTGATGCTAAGCTGTTAGTATAATTACAAAGGTGATTACTGAAAATTCTGGCCTCTGATTGTCGTTTGATATCTACAATAATCATCTAAGCGGATTTTTTCAGATAAATCAGTAATTTTAAAGAAAATGCTCTACAACGGTAAGAAGAAAAAAATAGCCTAAAATTAAATATTATTTAATAAAAATTACCGGTGCTTGAGTAGCACTTAAAAACCTCTTAATTGATCGCGTCGCGTAGCGACAGCGATCTATAGTTTCGGCTTGGTTTTTTTTTTTTTTTTTTCCTCTCGGGTCGACCCCCAGCGTCGCTAGCTGCGGGCCATATCACCCTAATCGGGAACCTGCGCACAGGTAAGTTGCTAGTTATATCACGTGTTGTATTCACTTTGGGCATATTTCGTTTCACCTTCGAACAATATACCGAACTATAGTCGCATGTTGAAAGCAGGAGAAACACAAAACAGCCCATTTCGAAACTGCTTGAAATCCTTTAGTGCAGGCTTACTCTGCTCGGCGTGTGCAGTTAGTTGTATGGTAATGAGTGTAAAGATAAAGATAACACTTGCTAGCATTTTGATCGCTTTATTGATTTAAAGTGCCTATGAAACGAATTTTTTTATTCAATCATTTGGTACTTTCGACAGCGGAGAATTCGAATTTGACCATAAAAATGTCCAATTCGAAATACAAACATGAGTTTTTGTACGGTTTTGTATCGATTTCGCAATAAAAATATGGTTCGGAGACTGGGAACAAATCAGACGGATGTGACGTAAAGCGCAGGGCACATGAAATTGACACAACGCAAATCACGCAAATTATAAACAAACAATATAGGACGATGTAGTCGAATAGCAGTAATAATTCTGTTGCTAATTCGGATGCAAACGATTGAAGCGAGTATGTATGCGATTCTCAATACATGTCATATGAAGGCGAACCATTAGCTCCTCAGGCCTAGGAGACGATATAATGGTTGATATTAACAAGGGAAAATCCGAAGAAGTTGATATCGATTGATGGCTTGACACCGGTTATTCTATAGAGGCTAGATATGGCCAAGAGGATAAAGTCGATTCCTTGCATGCAGGCTTTTTTCAGTTTGGTAGTAAATAAAATACTTAAGAGTTTGAACTTCTGTAATTTAAAGTGAGAAACTTCACAAAAGCAATGGACTTTATACAGGTATATCCGTGCTGTTGGTTATAGGTGGTTGGCAAGATGGATATTTGGCTACATGGGTCCATGTTTGAACCTCGAGTCAAAAAGCGCTTGGTGTTACTGCTATCAAAGCCTTGTAAATTGCTCGCAAAACGTTTGGAGAAGCAACTCTCGTCAAAATGTGCCAAGCACAACCATATTCTTGACGAATATTTTTCCGGGTCGAAGTCAGACCGATGTATTCGAACAAATTAGACCCGCTGTTTTTGTACAGACGGATCTTTAAAAAAACAATGCATGCTAATACCTCGTGTGTCGCCACTATTTGTGCACGATTTCTTATTTGGCCTTCCAGCAACACAACAAGAATTTCTCTTTTTTCATTTGCACATAAAGGAGATGTTTCCTCCATATCTACGGCTTATATTCTAATGTATAAAAACCTTTCCCTTAGTTGTTTATCATAAAATGCGCTTAGCGCGTAGTGTAATCCTGTCATATGTTGCGATTCACGCAAGCCTATATAAAAGTTAAACTAGGAGTTCTTATCAGAAGGAAAAATTGCTGCCGGAAATCGTAAGCAAAGTTCTTGTATTCTGCATGTTTAATTCTAAATGAATTTTAGGAAGACAAGTCGTTTATGACTTTTTTTGAGAAACTTCTGAAATGTTTTTGCAGGCAGCATTATATCGATATTAATGAAGACAAAATACATTAGAAAAGATCAGTGAAAAAAATTTAACTAAAAAATGAAGAATCAGCAGCACATAGTAAATATATAATACTCGTACTTGTCATGATCATAAGTCTTAATCAGCATGGTACAAATAGGTAACAAAAATTGATTACTGGATTAAAAATAAATAGCAATCATAAAAACTGATGAGATAAAGCTGAGTAAATAAAAGTTGAAATATGGCTTTAACATGGCCATATTATGCTTAAGATTGAACTACATTTAAAAAATTAGAGGTTATGTTAGCCAAACTCATTGATAATGAGATGTTATGGTATAGTCAATCACAGTCTCCTCATCCTCATTTTTATAACAACTTTGTTTACAACTTGAAGCATACAATCTGCATTTTCTGGACAAACACTTTGCTTTCATCAGTCACTTTATCTTATTTTATAACCATTGATGTTTAGTCCAGACAATGGAATGAATGGATGTGTAAAGTAACCCTTTCATAGATACTTGCTGGAATATTCACCATATCAACCTTTTGAATTGCAAAACTGGGCAGCATTTGGTAGCATTATGTTGATAGCATGTAGGATATTTCATCACCTACAAAGAAACTATATTTTATATTGATATCAGTAGATTTACATTGTTTGTCTTAATAGACTGCACTTTATGTAGTTGCATATATGGCTATATCTATGGCTAATTATTGATATTTGTGAATTGTGCTCACTGTTTCAAGTCTCGACCATTGAAAGTGTATTCAACTCAGTTCTATCTACCAGACTACCACCAATTATCACAATTAATGGGCTGATCATTTTGTGTCCCACCTAGTATGTGTTGTGCTCTACCACAAATAGGCAGATCAGACACATGAGGCAAGCAATCCAGCAAGATATTTCCATACGACGGGCTAAAAATATAATGTGCCTCCTCTACAAAATTATTGAAAATATATAGAGAATAATAAATGGGAAATATGGAATTTATTTCATATTTGAGAATGATATCGAACGAGTGACCGCAGCGAACGAGCGAGATATCTTTCTCAACACGAGAAATAAATACCATACTTCCAAGCATTCATGTATTATTCCGTTTATTACATAATAAAAATATATCGTGCTGTTGAAAGCGCCAATAAAGTGAAGCATATTACTCACCTTCCAGGCCAGTTGACTATTAAATGAATTACAAAAATCATCTCAAAATTTCCTTCTTTACAACAAAACAAAACAAAGCTTGCTACCTCGCATTTGTAGGACATGATTAGCAATATGTAAATTAGCCATATCTGTAATTCTCGATATATTTCGAACCTCTAAAATCGACTTCTCAGCACATGGAAGGAAACAATCAGGACAAAATCTTGATTGGACAGTGCGCTCCCCCTCGTTCCGTAAAAATCACCCCTGAAATGTTGACCGACAGACAGACACAAATCGAGATTTCGACAATATATAGGTCGCGTGTAAGAATGGGCCGAGGTACGTCAAGAATAGTGTGCTGCCGCGCTGGTGTGCGGCAGCAACTAAACCGCTTCGTCATATTGAAGTTGTACGAAGGTTCAATTTGACGTTTCGAGCGAGACTCTTCGTTATTTAGAGTTTTATAATATGCGATAAGACTGTTCGAAAAGTCGAGATTTCGTGTATTTCGTATAAAAGTAAGAGCTTATGTTATTGTGTGTGCCCTTTGACCGCGCAGAAAGTGAACCACATTTTTTGGCCAAATCGGCAAGTTTAAACCCCAATAACTTTTCTTCAAATTATTTGTAGAGCTTGCGACTTCAACATAGTCGTTTGTACACTAAACACTTCACGAATATGAAATAAAAAATTTCATTTCATAGGCACTATTATTAAGAACATTTACGACACAAAATTTGCATAGCTGGGCTGGCTACGCCGCTGTGAACGACGCGATCATATAACGCCTAGTAGGCGTCTTGTTATTATTTTCCTCTCGGGTCGACCCCCAGCGTCGCTAGCTGCGGGCCATATCACCCTAATCGGGAACCTGCGCACAGGTAAGTTGCTAGTTATATCACGTGTTGTATTCACTTTGGGCATATTTCGTTTCACCTTCGAACTTCGAAGCAGTAAAGTAGAATCAATAAAGCGATCAAAATGCTAGCAAGTGTTATCTTTATCTTTACACTCATTACACATACAAGTAACTGCACACGCCGAGCAGAGTAAGCCTGCACTAAAGGATTTCAAGCAGTTTCGAAATGGGCTGTTTTGTGTTTCTCCTGCTTTCAACATGCGACTATAGTTCGGTATATTGTTCATTTTTATTATTAAGAACATTTACGACACAAAATTTGCATAGCTGGGCTGGCTACGCCACTGTGAACGACGCGATCATATAACGCCTAGTAGGCGTCTTGTTGGTTTAATTAAAACTTCCTGAAGATTAAAAACAGGAAGACGAAATGCTAAATTATATATGATTTGCTTTGTTTGCACGACGCAAGCTTCCGTGTTTAATCATGACTAAATTCACCATGTATACTAAATATTCGTTTCCAAGAAAATTGAACTGTAATCCCCAGAAGATATGCCTTACATATAGTATATGTACAGAAAGAAGATATTGGCATGCAATACATTGCTACTGACAACGTTAACATAAAACACAAGTAGTAAGCACAAAATTAGTCAGTATTCAAGCTAAATTTTAGTACCTCAAACATGTAGTCTACTTTTAATATTTGAAATTAAGCTAGATTACTTTCAGTTTTAGGCCGATACAAGTTTTGCAGTGCATGTATAAGGTTACACATTATTAAATTTCCGGATCATGCATGCCCGTATTGATTGTTTTCACAGTCCATGGACACACAAATATTAGCATAGCGGAACTTCACCGCGATTTGTTTGGTTTCTCGCAGGTCAATAGCGTTGCCATCCTGACCGGTTTAAGTCCCGCAAAATTAATGCTTTTCAACTCTGACCGTAATCGCTATCGCGGCAACTCAACTGAGTGATGGAATTTCCGCTCGATGAACAGTTCGGTGGTTTAAATTTTAATAAATCGCGTCGGTAAAGTTCTAAAACTGTGCCTGCAGTGTTTATGTCCCGTAGAATCAAAAGAATTCTATGAGTTCTCAATTTAAAAACGTTTAGTAGTCTGTTGGGCTCGAGATTTATTTGAAATTCACTCCGAAAGACAACGTACCTTCAAACATATGTCAGCGTATTTGGAGCGAGCGAAGCTTCGCATCCTCTTCCTGAAAAGATAACCGTTATTACCACTACTTGCTTCGTTTCGTGAATTCTCTCCATGGCCTATGTCTAGCGCTTCTGGATCGACATTGAGATTTTTCATTACAGTGATTTCAATCTTTTCGTCTATAGAGTCGGCCATCGTATTAGAAAATAGACACGTTCACTGACCTGATGACTGACCTAACTTTTCTTAGAAGCAGGCGGCCTTAATATGCGGGATGATATATCATATAGCTGCCAAATTGGGTTCAGTAATTAGTTTTGTATACATATTTACCGCCAAGGCAAAGGGGATTTATCAATTGATATTAAAACATTTATATTGTGAATTTATGATGCAATTGAGTGTCTTCAAGCAACATAACATATTACCGGACTTAGTTACAGACAAACATGTTACAAGAAGGCATAGTGTCAGTTATCATCTTTTGATCAATTTGGAAAAAAAATCTCATTGTAACTTAATGACGTAATGTCTCTAAGTGATATGACAGATTATCGGGCTTTGCTAAAATTTACTGAGTGTTTAGTTACGTGCGAACACATTTAAGAGATATAATATGTACATCGACATTGTATACCATTTGTATTTCTATATAAATGATGCTGTGTTCTTAGCGCCATGAAAGATTATCATCAAACAATCGCCCTATGATTTAGATCTTTTGTTGAGAGGCAAAAGCCAATGAAAATTTCTCATAACTGGAACTAAAGCGAGAGCCCTAATATCTGTCTGTTTTTCACGAAGCAAATAGCGGTTGCATGCATATGTGATTAATTGTGATCATCTTATTGACGTTCATTGCCAATGGCTTCCTTAATTTCATGCTTCTTTGGCTTATTCGATCGCCTTGCGGCTTCTTCTTTTCGACGAGTTTTTATCTAATGTTTTAATTTGCGTGCAAAAGTTATCGGAAAACATCGAAATTTGTTTCGCCAAATCTGTTGGCAATCAATTTGTTTTCAATCCATTTAAAATCATGATCTGTTACAATGGAATATATACCTAATGTATATAGATTTAAAACATACTTTGGATACGATAAGGTCAACTTTACATTTCTACTAGTTTTTAGTCGTAATTTGTCCAAAGAAACTTCTTATATAGTTATTATTGTCAATAGAATACGGTAAGGTCAACTTTACATTGCTACTATAGCATTCAGATTCAAATTCTGCGAAGAAACCTTCCTAGTTTTTATTGTCAATAGAATCGCTTATGCATGATGTTGTGATAGGTGACGACATAATATGTGAGGTTGCACAAGGTCATCACAATATTTCAAAGAAGGGGTTTTCCCTGAATCTAGTTATAAAATAGGTTGCACGATAATAATACGCTCACATTTATTAAAAACCTGTACTTTATTCTACGTTCGTCGTGGTTTCAGATTTACTTGTGAATAACATATACGCTCATTGCGCTGTGGCAACTATGGGGAGTATGGACAAGGATGATGATCAGAATAATATTCAAGAACAACTTGAGGCAGACGATAGACCCATTCTGACGGATGTAGAAGGTGACAAGAAGGAATTTAAAAATAAACGAGAATACTCACTATGGAAGAAGTTACGAAATTTGGTGCGTTTCGATATCATCGACATCAGCTTGAAGGTTGGTTAACGACATTTTAAATGAACACAGACGAAAGGCGTAAATCGCGGTTCCACAATATGTAAATATACAAGGTGAATAATAAATAAGATTTCGGAAATTCCCAATTAAGTAATAACTTTGTTCTCAAAGCACTAGATTTTGTCCCCAGCCTGGGTATTTCATACGGCTTCCTAAATTGTATATATTATTCATGAAGAGTTACTTACAAGACTAACAAGAGGAAGTTACGTTTGCCAGCGCTCAAAGCCAGAATGGATTGAATATAAATGACTTGACATCAGCATTCAGCAATGTCACTTGGCTTTATATACAATCAAAGCTATTCAAACTTTCAAATTTGAAACAAAAAGGATAAGTACAACTCGTTTATTGATTGCATGTATTCAACAGATGTCTTGAAAATGTTATATCTCTTACTCCAAGAGTACAGGTTTAACCACGGATAATAGTATGATTTGAATTATTTTAACATACGTAATATGAAAAAAGTTTTAGTTCTGGGTAGAATGCGAGAAGCGATATTACTCGGCCGTTTATTGCTATTATATAATGTATGAAATGAATCTTCTATGGGTTGAATGGGTTCATCGTATATCACTTCTAGGAACGAGTCAATTTGTTATCCAATTATGATAACTTCCGTTTACATTGTGAAAAGAAGAGATTGATTTGATTTCGGAAGCCAAGTCAATAAGGGGTCAATCCCTGATGGCAGAAATATATCATATATAGGCTTTTTGTTAGCTTTGAATGTACTAACTTGCTCTACCCTTACTCCCCTGGAATCCTAGATCCACCACTGGAGCTATCGTTAGCATGCAGAGTTAGCATAAAATCTCTCCCAGCACGTCGTGTAAAATAATTTACAAACGATAATATAATACCATCATATTATTTTGCAGGTGTTTTTCATCGTTTTATCCGTCCCATGGTTCATCTCAACTATCTTTTTCTCCATATTCGACACGAAATGCATCATCTTCGACCAGGCTTCAGTAGTGAACTGCAGTCAAGATTTTCTTATCTCCAACCCTAGACACTGGGTGCTTGCTTGGTTCTCAATGTCCCTGACGTCTTCGGTTCTTCTCTTACTTATTATTTATTTGAATTACAAGAAAGTGAATTTTCAAGTCGAAAAAGCGAAGAAAATTTACAAAAAAGGATATTTTGTGTCGTTTGTTCTCTTACTTTTGGTGTCCATGGCGTTTTACAGCATTCGACTCTACAACGCTAGATCGGAAAAGACAAGCTTCTCCGTTTCAATCCTAATATTGTTGTCACCCCCAGTTACCATCCTCTTGATATGTTGTTTAAATTATTTACCTCGCATAGCCTGGACGAAATCCGACCATCCATTTTGCACTATTGCATGGTGGAAAGATTGCATTCACAAAAATTCGAATTTTTTCATCTATTGGTTGGCCCTCGTTTTGTGTTTTGTCGAAAATGCCTGTAAAGTGGCCGGTCTGATGCTCGATTTGGCCGAGGATGTCGCACCCTTGATCGAAAACAAGTTTCCAGATAAGACTGGCCAATTCCGATCGGTTATGTTGATAGTCCTCGGCTTCAGAGTGACGTTCCACGCCCGGGTACTTACTTTCTTCTGGCAAAAGATCTTTCACGGGGAGAAAGATCTATTCTCAGAGCCGAGTCAGAGACTTGTTGAGGAAGCTTTCGCACTGGAACAACAGCAAATGGAAAAGGTTGACGAGGATAAATTACAAGGTATCGTACTAATCTGAGAGAACAGCTTATATCCATCCATAAAAATAACCTATACAGATTTCTTCCAATTCTTTAAAACTAAATAATTTCCAGCTAATTGCATTGTTCCGTATTATTTTTGGAAATAAGCAGAAGGCTGATTCCTGTCCTTTAATTTCTGCAAGCTAACCTCTGGCAGCAGACATGATGGTATATCTTAATTACCACGGTTAGGAATAATTTATCAGATTCATGCAAGATCAAGGTGAAAGTTTATTTTGTCAAGTTAGATATATTTGCCATCTTGGACATACATATTACGAAGATGTTAGTACTATGAAGGTATTTTAAGTAAAAAAGAATAAAGTCTCAGTTATTAGTTATTGTGTTGTTTCTCACCGATCACTTGTTCTAAATGCAAAAAAACTAAACTGTCTCGCTTTTACAGTCGCTACGGAACCATGCAGAGTAGCCGAATATTTCATTTCCTTTGCTTCTGCGCTTAACCTGTGGCCTCAAGCCGTCCTTTAGGCATGAAGGACATGCGTAGCTATTATATATAGAGGTCGAAACTAATTGAAACGATGTGTAATATAAATATAACTAATTTAGTTACAAACTTCCCGCGGCAATACAAAAGTATACAAAAGTCGACAACTTCGCACGGCTATATTTTCTGTAATTTACAACAATTAGCAGAAAAAACTTACCACTTTTACTAACTTTAGTAAGCTCTTTCAGAAAATATCCTTTTTATTACTATAAGAAATTAGTCTAAAGCGCAAGTCGTCCATTCGTTTCTATTCATTGTGGGTTGTTCGTGGAACCTTTGCCATTTCACTGGAAGAGATTTTCCTAGATATTCAGCTCAGATTTTGCTTAAGAAGGAATACTATCACTGATCTACATTCTTCGTTGCCTCGGATTTACTTTTAACAAGACAGTTTGATATGTTGACATTTGACTATACCGACTGTAGCAATGTTCAATAGTGGCGCTCAGAATGATGGGCTTCACGATATAAACGGACAAAGTCACCTACAAAGTCACGAAGATGGTAATCAAGACCCCGATAACCAGCAAGAATGTTTGTGAAGAAGGAAATTGCGAAATTTGGCCCGTTTCGATTTTATCGACATAAGCTTGAAGGTAGGTTAATTTTAAATTGACATCATTGCTTAAATGAGTACACGGACAACAGACAATACATACAATTCCCTTGCAAATGCCATACAAAATATAGTGACGATTGCGTTTGACCACGATTCGTCATTCGTTTATTCCATTGGAACAGGTTATGATTTTAAATGCATTGAAAACAGATTGGTTGCCAACAGATTTGGCGAAACAAATTTCGATGTTTTCCGATAACTTTTGCACGGAAATTAAAACATTAGATGAAAACTCGTTGAAAAGAAGAAGCCGCAAGTCGAATAAGCAAAAGAAGAAAAAAATTAAGGTAAGCCATTGGCATTGAACGTCAATAAGATGATCACAATTAATCACATATGCATGCGACCGCTATTTGCTTCGTGAAAAACAGACAGATATTAGGGCTCTCGCTTTAGTTCAAGTTATGAGAAATTTTCATTGGCTTTTGCCTCTCAACAAAAGATCTAAATCATAGGGCGATTGTTTGATGATAATCTTTCATGGCGCTAAGAACACTGCATCATTTATATAGAAATAGAAATGGTATACAATGTCGATGTATACATATTATATCTCTCAAATGTGTTCACACGTAACTAAACACTCAGTAAATTTTCACAAAGCCCGATAATCTGTCATATCACTTAGAGACATTACGTCATTAAGTTACAATGGGATTTTTTTTTCCAAATTGATCAATAGATCACTGACACTATGCTTTCTTGTAACATGATGATTTCATAATCCTTTTGCCGGCTTGACGGAAGCCTTCAGCGGTTTACTTTTGTAGGTAATTACATGTATGCTATGAGCTGATGATAGCTCTACCATGCGCGGATCTAGGATTTTTAATACCTTAGTCCAAATTTATAACGTCATTTATGACGTCACTTATGACGTCACGTATGGCGTCACGCATGACGTCATACATAATGATAATCCTGTGGTGGTTATTGACAAAATTACACACCCTAAATGATCTAATCACGGAGTTTTGCGGAAATTTGTAGCTCTTACTCATTTAGTGGCATATTAAGATGTTTTAAACACGATTTTTTAAACCGTATCCCTTAGACTGCCCGTTGAACTGTTTTGCCCCATATTAGGGCTCATCCGCATGCCTAAGATACACTTTTACTTAATGTAGTAGTTACTGCAACAACGAAATAGAAGCTAATAATTGTTTTTAAGATGACATTGAGCGGAGAGAGTTTACTTATTCCAAAAGTATTCCTCAGTCCCTACTTTGAGTAGTCCCAACAATATTTACCTACTATAGTACTAGGGAAGCTGAAGCATCAGAACTGGGAAGTAAGAAAATATTCAAAACAGGAAATTAAAATCACGCTAGATATATATCACTGACGGCACTCGGCAGAGTGTAGAATACATGTATTTCAACATCATGATGTATATATTCATTCATAATTTTCATATATGAACGTACTTATACATGTGATATACATCAGGAATACGGAATAATAATAAGTAACTAAAAGTGAACACGCTAAGTTTGTATCTTGTATTTTATCAGGGGCGGCTTTCGGTTGCTCGTATATCGAGAAAGGGCATGCACCGTAGCCTAGTTTCCGGTTAGATTCAGAGTTGCCAAATATGAATATTTCTTCGTTGAGAGAGCGTCATTTAGTTATATACATATAAATATACTTGACAATGATCACATCACATATCTACAATAACGTGTTGAAACGTATCTAATATATATAGATTTAAAACATTCGGTGGATACGATAAGGTCAACTTTACATTGCTACAATAGCATTCAGACTCAAATTCTGCGAAGAAACCTTCCTAGTTTTTATTGTCAATAGAATCGCTGATGCAGGATGTTTTGATAGGTGATGACATTATATGTGAAGTTGCACAAGGTCATCACAATATTTCAAGGAAGGGGCTTTCCCTGAATATAGTTATAAAATAGGTTGCACAATAATAATACGCTCAGATTTATTAAAAACCTGTACTTTATTCTACTTCGTCGTGGTTTCAGATTTGCTTGTGAATAACATATACGCTCTTTGCGCTGTAGCAACCATGGGGAGTATGGACAATTATGATGATCAGAATAATATTCAAGAACAACTTGAGGCAGACGATAGACCCATTCTGACGGATGTAGAAGGTGAAAAGAAGGAATTTAAAAAGAAACGAGAATACTCATTATGGAAGAAGTTACGAAATTTAGCGCGTTTCGATATCATCGACATCAGCTTGAAGGTTGGTAGGTATTTCATACGGCTTCGTAAATTGTAAATATTATTCATGAAGAATTACTTACAAGACTATAACAAGAGGGAGTTACGTTTGCCAGCGCTCAAATCCAGAATATAAATGACCTGACATCAGCAATGTCACTTGACTTTATATACAATCGAAGCTATTCAAATTTGAAACAAAAAGGATAAGTATTCAGCAGATGTCTTGAATATGTCATATCTCTTACTCCAGGAGTCCGCCAGGTTTAACCACGGATAATAGTATGATTTGAATTATATTTTAACATATACATAATTTAAAAAGTTTTAGTTCTAGGTAGAATGCGAGAAGGGATTTTACTCGGCCGATTTTGGCTTTCAAATATGAACCATATGTGTGACAGATATTCCCCATGGATCTACATACGCATCACATGTGATTCACATGTGTATCCCATGTGACCACATATGCATCACATTTGGTTCACATGTGTATCCATGTAACCGCATGCGCATCACATGTGGTTCACATGTAGACTCCAAATAACCACGTATATTCACATGTGAATCACATATGATCACATGTGTACCACATGTGATCACACGTATCCACATGTGAATCACATGGGAAACACATATGGTTTGCATGTGTTTTTTTCGTAAGGGAAGAAATCAGCCTTGGGTTCATCGTATCTCACTTCCAGGAACGAGTCAATTTGTTATCCAATTATGATAACTTCCGTTTATATTGTGAAAAGAAGAGAATGAATTGATTTGATTTCGGAAGCCAAGTCTATAAGGGGTCAATCCCTGATAAATATATCATATATAGCTCATACGGCGCATTTTGTTAGCTTTGAATGTAGTAACTTGCTCTACCCTTACTCCCCTGGAATCCTAGATCCACCACTGGAGCTATCATCAGCACGCAGAGTTAGCATGAAATCTCTCCCAGCACGTCGTGTAAAATAATTTACAAACGATAATAATACCATCATATTATTTTGTAGGTGTTATTCATCGTTTTGTCCGTCCCCTGGTTCATCTCAACTATCTTTTTCTCCATATTTGACACGAAATGCATCATCTTCGACCACGCTTCGGTAGTGAACTGCAGTCAAGATATTTTTATCTACAACCCTAGACACTGGGTATTTGCCTGGTTCTCAATGTCTATCGTGTCTTCCATTATTCTCATCTTCATCGTTCGTGCGAATTACAGAATGATTGACTACCAAACTGACAAAGCAAAGAAAATCTTCAAAAAAGGATATTTTGTGTCATTAATGCTTTTACTTCTGGTTTCTATGGTCTATTATGGCGTTCGACTCTACAATACCAGAGCAGAAGCGACTAGTTTGTCAATTTCATTTCTTATATTGTTCCATGTGCCTGTCAGTGGCTTTCGAATCTGCTGTTTAAATTACCTACCCCGCGTTCGCTGGAAAGACGATCTACAACGTCGCACTCAGTTTTTTTGGATTCATATAATTCAAGAGAATTCAAATTTTATCATCTATTGGTTAGCTCTAATTTTATATTTTTTCGAGAGTGCCTGTAGAGTGGCAAGCGTAATGCTTGACGTAGCCGAAAAAGTTGCGCCTTTGGTAGAGAAAAAGTTTCCGGATGAAGTTGGTCAGTACCGGGCGGTACTAATTATAGTCACCGGTTTCAGATTGGCGTTCCACGCCCGCGTGCTCACCTTCTACTGGCAAAAGATCTTCCACGGGGACAAAGATCTGTTCTCGGAACCGAATTCAAGGCTTGTGGATGAACCTTTGCAAACCGTTGCGGTAGCGAAACAAGAGGAAATTGGACGGATTGAGGACGATAATTTGCCGGAAATCGTCTGACTGATAGGAGTGAACAGATATCATTATAGTGCTTTTACACTCAATACATGCATTTCACATGTTTTTGTTGAATGTTCGAATGAAAAAATCCTAGCCAATTACAGTAATCGGTATTCCTTTGTGAAAAAAAGTGGGAATTTGACCGATGTCGGGCCACGCCATCTCTAAGCAAAATTACATATAAAAATTTTGAAATTTTAAAATGAAAAAATAAACAAATGATTGATTTGTCACTGTTCCTTACGTGATCTTACCGCATTTACTACCTTTGCCTTTGCCACAAACACGCAACTAAACTTGGCAGCTGACTGGCACACCCCAAATTCTTAGCCCCGTACGACTGATCTTATATTACATACGCCCTGTTTACAGTACACTCGATTTATCGGCATGGCAAGGCTAAAATGCGTACCCGTACCCATTTCATCCTTCTATTAGTCTGAGCACAAATAAAATTGGGCGTGGTTCCAGTTTTCACTGTGATAAACGAATAAATTGACCGTCTCGTGTAAATAAGACTATCAAGATATCTGCATGGAAACCGTGCAAGAAGCGAGAAAAGCTCTTCCTGGGATATATTTGTTTAAAAGAAATAAAGAAATATTTTTTTGTACAAATTGTGTATATATTTATATCGCGCGAACAAAAAGATTGACGTTCATGGCAAACCGCTAACTCTAAAGCTTGTGTAGCTTTCTGCGCATCAGTCTCAGTCGCATCAGTCCGGATCCGCTCCTACTCTCGAGTGAGGAAACAGAATTTTGTTGCCAATGTTCCTTTATGTTTGCCGTTTGTGGTTAGGGGTTTGCCGGTAAGCGTTAATCTAAGCGTAAAAGTGCCATTAAAAACGGCATAAAGCAATAATGTACTATGCGTGCATTTCGTTTTTCTATGAGCAGATTACTTCTTCTAACTTAAATGTTTTTTCAAATTCATCTTGCTGGCTTTTTTGTACTAACGGCTCCTCAAAAAGTCTCTGGTTTGGCTCTGTAAACAAATCCTTTTCCCCATGAAAAAGCTTCTCCCAGAAAAAGGACAAAACGCGTACGTGAAATGCCAATCTGAAACCAATCACTATTACTAACACCCCCCGGAACTGGTTTGATTCATCTGATAACTTGTTTTCGATCAGGGGGGCGACTTCGAGCGCCACGTCAAGCATTATGGAGGCCACTTTAGAGGTTACCTCGATGAAATGCATCACAAGAGCCAGCCAATAGATAATAAAATTTGAATTTTTGTTGAGGCAATCTTTCCACCAAACGATTGTGAAACGCGGTGCATTCACTGTTGTGGCCCAGTGTACACGAGGTAAGTAATTCAGGCAGCAGATAAGTACCACAGTGACGGGCAACCAAAGGAACACAAGAATTGAAATCGAGATACTGGTCTTTTCTGATCTGGTGGCGTAGATTCGAATGACATAGTAGACAAGTGAAATCAGCAGCAAGAATACGAACGAACCAAAATAGCCTTTTTTTAAGATACTCTTCGCTTTCTCGGTTTGATAGTTCATCTTCTTGTGATTTAAGCGAATGATAGCGATGAGCAGAATTGAAGCAATGATTGACATCAAAAGCCAAGCAAAGACCCAGTGCGTTGGATTTGAGATCAAGAAATTTTGGGTGCAGTTTATCACTGAAGCTTCTTCGAAGATAACGCATTTCGTGTCGAATATGGAGAAAAATATTGTGGAGATGAACCACGGAATACATAGAAAGATGTAGGTTACCTGTGCATTAAATAAGTAACATATGGTTACAAATCAATCTAACCAAGTCAATTCTTTTGAGGCATGCAGTTTATCATAATATTTATATTTATTTTTATAGGTTGGGTGCACATATCTAAGCAGTTCGACTTTCACAGAAAGCCATGGTAGAATACGGAAATCCATACGGGGAGGTGTGACACCCCCTTTATATTTTTAAAAAGCATTGATTGGTAGGGAATTCAAATATTCTTGCAGGGCCAAAGATGATGCCTCAACTGATAATAAAGGTTTATAAACTTTATTCAGGAACATGGAAATGTTTATACACTGTATCCACAGTAGCGTAGCAAGCCTGTCGATTTTTCCCGCTTTGCTAATATAATGTTAATGTTCACTGATTGTGAAAACAATAGATTTCTAAAGACATGAATAATTATAATAACTCGAAATTTACATAGCGGGACAAAATCGTCAGTCTGGCTACGCCACTGTGTATCTATAGACGGTTTCCGTAAGATAACGCGTAGCAATTATTAATTCATATTAATTCATCAACGGAAGAATTATACACCCGCTAAGTGACTAACAGACAAGCAGCAGCTGTGCAAACTTTTAGTATCAATATCACAAGTGAAATGTGTATTGGAATTTAATAGCGTATACTGAGGTCTAAACATTAAATAGACTTTGACATAGATTTGGACCGGGATATTCTGGACGTCCGGCTAACAAAATAGTTGTTTTGGCAACTGAACTAAATGCTATCCGCGATGCACCAGCATCGTTACGATTTATATCTCAGCAATCCCTGCGCGGTATACTGGCAACTGGCATGTGCATACGGTGAATGCTAATTTGCACGATTAAATAATGTTCGCGGTTCCTTAGTCGTAATTGCCCTGAACAAGTCATTTTTAAATTTACAGATGTGAAAAATTGATATTCCGGATGAAGAATCTTTAAATAAAAACCAGCCGTTCCTACCCTGGGTACGAGGTTGCCGTTCCTAGCTGTTGTGAAACCGTTCCTGAAGATTACAAATATACAGGAAGATCAAATACTAAATCAATATTGCAAAATGCTGACAAGTGAGAATATGCTAATTTATTTACACAAAGCTTCAGTGTTTGATTGTTTGAACTGTCCTGTACGGATGTACAAAATCCTTATATATTTACCCTATAGTCCGACAGGGCAAAATTTCGCGCTCAATAAATAAAACTTTACAGCTAAATTAAGCTAGCCGCCACAAGAGGGGCAATTGGTTGTTCCTAGTTCTCACAACTTCGTGGTTAAATTTATCACCCGTATATTGGTCTATTTTGTTTCTGTGTATAGTTTAATCTACCAGAATATCACTGATCTCAACATACCACTAAGACCGCTCTACCGCCCAAACGATTAGCAAATAATTTATGATACAGTGAATATATTGATGTATTAGGACTAGCCCGGAAACAGAGATATATGCATGCCAATGCTATATATATATATATATATGTATATAGAAGACAAATTATTTATACGAACGATAGCGAATATGACACCATGGGTACATCACGTTTGTACGTCGAATTCTTTATTCGGCATGATTGTTATTCAAAACAGGGACATCATTTCATAATGATTTTTGTTTGCGATTGTTTAACAAGTTAAACTAAATTTTCCTGATCATTTGATAAACTGAAGAAATACAATATTTTCACACGACTATATATATATATATATATATATATATATATATATATATATATATATATATATATATATATATATATATATATATTTGTATATATATATATATATATATATATATATATATATATATATATTTGTATGTATATATATATATCACATGCACCACTTTTCCCGTGTAATTTCCGAGCTGTTTCCCGATGCAATTCATGTCGTATTACATACTAGCTGTTTATTACTGGTAAAGTATCGTTCTGTTCCGGTTGGATTTTTTTTCTATTTTTTAAATTTACTTCGAATACCACTTAACACTCTGTCTTGTATAGTAAAATCGTATTACTCTAACGGTAAGGGTGCATGCTTGCAGAGCGCCTATACAAATCTAGACAGAAAGTATTCCGTCTCAATTTCGTTCAAACTACGAATTCCTATGCCAATGGTAGCGGTAATATGCAAGAGAAATCGTCCCGTTAGAGAACGAACTATCTAGGTCATACGGTCATACGGTGCATACGGTCAAATATATTATGTTAAATGAAGATTCGTGCTGAAAAGTTGGTCGATAAACATTAAGACCATGTCTGTTGAACTCTATCTTTGTCTTAGACAATACGGAAAACCAACATACCTTCAAGAAAATATCAGTGCATGCGAAATTTGATCGGGCTAAATTTCGAAATCTCTTCGGAAACGAATTTTGTCCTTGACAATTAGTTTCTTTCTGTGAATCATTTCCAGAATGTGCTGCGTCTTGGGGCTGCAAGTCGCTCAAAACAACACCCTCGACCTTTTCGTGAATCACAACGGTGATGGAATCAACCATGGCCATGGTATATCGTAAATATAACTGATATGTTGATCTTTGCAGGTTTTAACTAACATGTAACTTGAGACTACTTAAGCCTGTTTTTCATCAATCACCGCGACATTCTGCGATGTAATGTTGGTAGCCGATGAGGAAGTATATAGTTATTTCTCGACCTGAAGCGAGTCATAAATTCGGTCAGTTTTCTTTCCAAGACTGATTCTCCACATGATCTCCCACGCAGCCAACCTTAATTTTGGCAAATCGAAATAAATCGTGGTCACATGTGACATATTTGTTACCATATTAGTCGCGTTCAGCGGCTCATTCAACTTCCTGCTTCTTTGTGCTGCCGACGAGGACTGCTTTCTAGGATACGACACATTACATTAACAGAAATGTTAGGGCTGCTTCCACACAGGCGTTCGTTTTTCATACGCACGTAAACATCACGCGAGTTCCTGCCCCAGGCCCCCAGCCACGCGCTACAGCTCACGCCAGCGCTGACTGTTGGAAACATTTAGTCAAATTGTAAAACAGCGATAAAAATAAACTTAGAGAAGACTTTGAATATTCACTATATATAAAGAACGCGTTAGAAGTTGAAAAATTGCTTTTTTCCACAAGCTTCCTGACTTTAAACGAAAGCTTTTAAATTTCAATTATTACAACAATTAATCAATATTGTGTGCAAATTAAGTGTTTGTATATATATTATCATCGCACACATACAATGTCACGAGGATTCTCCGCATAATTGGGACCATACCGAGTTTCTTGGTTTACTTCAACTTAGACAAAAGATTGACAATTGTCATTACACAATAACTACTGTAGGCTTGATAAAAAAAACACCTGTATAATAGTTATTCAAATAATAAGAAGCAGCATTAAAGGGGAACCCCCTATGTCGTTGAAACAATTAATAGACGACACTTATAAATAAACGTTTGTAATTGAAGTAAAAACGATAAAACACTCCCTTTGTTGCTAGCTACTACAGAAGCTTTCCTCTAAAAAAGTAACCACCAATCCACCATAACAGAAAACGTATGATTGAACTAAAAACTATTAGAATGCATTGCGATTCATCAAATGCCAATTAGGGACTTTCCCCTTTTACAATATTTTGTTGGAGTTTGAAAGAACATAATAAAAAGTTATGCGGGTACATTTTCTATTCCGTTTGTGGATTCAGAGTTGCAGTTCGACAAAAATGTTCGACATAATATATAAGTAGTTGCGATGGCCAATTACGTTACTCTAGAAGAAGAAACACTCGAGACAGTGGAAAGCGTCATCGTACACGATGTCCAAGTTCATCGTGATGAAAATGATATGTACACAGACAATTCTAAGCAACGAGAGTGTTCTTTAAGTATAAAACTGCCGAATTTCGCACGTTTTAACATTATGGATACATGTTTGAAGGTACGTGCGGCTACAATTACAAATTTCAATAGAATTAATAACCAAAAGTGTTGTTTAATAGACATAATAGACATTAAAAACAGCAAAATACAATTCACTTGCCTTTGACTATTTCCATTAAGTACTTAATTATAACTTGTTCAAATTGCTTTGTTCAACTATTTAAAGTCTCGCTTTCGACTTTAAATCGAAGAGTTAATTTTTTGGTTATAATATGATATAATGAAAAACATACGCGACATCGAATAATGTTTATACGAAATGCGGCACAAAACGGAATTTAAAACATTGAACAGCACAGTAAGTCAATACGCAACGTTAACGCTTTGTTTTCGTTGTTACATAAAACAAATACAACTGTTCAAATGTTGTTCAACTGTACAACTGTTCCCGTTAAATCATTTTTTTTTATCTATTGAACCATTTCCATATAACCAATTTGTATGGATATTGAAAACTTTCATACTATATTTTCAAACAATTCCGGTATATATTCATTAAAGAGATCAGCCCATCTACATGTTAAGACAAGGCACAGATTATTTTCTCAACGTGAATGCGGATGCGGGTAAACGGACGAGCGGAATTAGACAGCGCCGGTTTACAGAAGTTTTAAGCGTTGGGAACATTACAAGCTAGGAAACAATGTTTTCACTACTATGTGCTCTAACCTGTCTAGGGGGTAGTTGGGACCAATGGCGAGGTCCAGAACTTTTTGCCAACGGTTCTGTTCAATCCCCAAGATTAACACTGACGAACGACACATTACGTTATTTTGTAGGTGATCTTCGTCGTTCTCTCCATTCCTTGGTTGATATCGACTATCTTTGCCTCCGTATTCGACACGAAATGCATCATCTTCGACCACGCTTCAATGGTAAACTGCAGCCAGGAAGTATTTATCGCCAAACCTAGACACTGGGTCTTTGCTTGGTTCTTAATGTCCATCATGTCTTCAGCTCTTCTTCTGCTCATCGTGTATTTGAATTGCGAAAAAGTAAACTATCAAATCGGAAAAGCGAAGAAAATTTACAAAAAAGGATATTTTGTGTCGTTGATGTTTCTAACACTGGTGTCGCTGTTGTTTTACAGCATTCGACTCTACAACACTAGGTTGGAAAAGACAAGCTTGTCCATTTCAATCCTTATTTTGTTCTCTGTCCCAGTCACTGTCCTCCTGATCTGCTGTTTAAACTATTTACCTCGCATCGCCTGGAGAAAATCAAGACATACATTTTGCACTCTTGTATGGTCTGAAGATTGCCTGCGTAAAAATTCAAACTTCATCATCTATTGGTGGGCTGTTGTTTTGTATCTGATCGAGAATGCCTGTAAAGTAGTTGGTATGATGCTTAACCTTGCAGAAGAAGTCGCCCCCCTGATCGAAAATAAATTCCCAGAAAAAGCTGGCCACTTCCGGTCGGTGATGGTGATAGTCATCGGTTTAAGGCTGACATTCCACGCCCGCGTACTTAATTTCTTTTGGCAAAAACTCTTCTATGGCAACAGGGACCTGTTCTCGGAGCCAAATTTAAGGCTTGTCGATGAGTCTCGGGTCCAAGAAAAACAAGAATCAGAAGAACGAGTGGACGAGTTGGAACTTGTCCATGTATGAGAAAGCGACTTTTGTAGGCGTAAGTGATTATAGTATCGACTACAAAACTGCATGTTAGCTATATTATCACAATTAATATATATAATAAAGTTAATAATATTGTATTTATAATTTACAAAGAAACAAAAGTGCTATAAATAATTCATATACAAAGTAAATTAGTAATACTGGGGCATAAGAAGCATAAAACCACTAGTCATAGCTCAAAAATTGTTGAAAAGAGGTTCTACTACAGTAGTTAATGGTATCATGAAAATTCATGTGGAAAAAAAATTACTTATCTTTTTTATGCCCCGAAATTTCGTGGATGAAAAAATTCGTCAAAATCCTATAATCCTCACTTTTTGCATTTGCGACGAATTAGATTTGCGATGTTAAACATAAATCATTGCTGTTAAGCGTAATGTAGAACAGGCGAATTAAAGCGATCTTTCGCAATTGCAAGGTCGTATTTCATTCTAAACAAGACGCCGTTCTGGCGTTAACTCCGGCGCACGTGCCAGTCTTCAATATAGAGCTTCTGAACATAAACAATACAGTTCGCGTATTGTTTCGCATACATATTCGCATTTAGATGCCTTGCGAACCTAAATGTTCGATCGCGAAATTCAGAAGCATATCGCAGTATAGAAGTTCAATTGTTCAAAAATGTAAATAAACCGCATGATACATTCGCTTCGTCTTACAGTTTGCCTTTGGAATTTGCGCTTATATAGTTATATTAAATCTCCGATCCTGTGCAAACAACGCGACGTGTCAACGCGCCCATACACGACCACATCATCTTGTTAAACGGCGAAATAGCAGCGATATTATTAAAATAGGACCGGAATCTACATGTATTAAATATATTCTTACCCCAATTCTATCTAAACTTAATCGAACAGCATGAAAAGAACGGTTTATTTGTTCCTCTTGGAGAAATTGCCGTATCATGCGAGCGAAATCGAATCGCGCATTGGAAAATTAGCCAAAGCTGTGCACCACAACTCTTGGGAGATAAGACTGGGACGTAGATAAATACAGTCACATACACGTTTTAAATACAAGTAATATTTCGCGCCATTACACACTTGCGACGACGAAAAATAAAAAAATAAAAAACAAAAAAACAACAAAACAAAACCGGGGCGAATTTTCAACTCCGTCGCTGACGCCGGAGTAATTAACTGTTGGGACCAGGCCCGGAGCTAAGGGAAAGGGTATCTGATACTGCGTATGCCATCTTTTCCATAAGCGACCATCGAAGTTTTGAACTTTTTTTCTATATTATCACCACCTTCATTTTGAAGAATGGAAACTAGATACAAAAAGTAAAGAGCAACTGTTCTTCTAAAATTTTTACAAAATTTGTTAGCGTGTTGTATTTGTTATAAAAACTGGTTTGCATAAATTGTATTGCTAATTGCTTATTGCTCTTACGAACTTTTACAGGACCCCAAAACTGTAATCAACACATTGATATATACTTATATATAGTGCGACAAAGTTCGCAATAGACCTTTCTTATAATGACGTCAAACGCGAAAGTCTGATTTTACACGAAATTTTATTGGCTCCACAAAACTATCGAGCCAATCAAACTTCGTGCTTGACGTCATTATGAAAAAGGTCTGTTGCTATTCGTGTTTTGAAACAATTTTTCATGTAACTCGTTGACAATATGCCTATAGTCTTATCAATTTATACATTCAGTCCGATTAACAATAACGCAAGAGGGAAAATAGCGCTAGCTTCGAATTTTTTGTCATTCCTCTGTATGAGTTTAAAACAGGCTGGATTAATTATGGCTCTCTTTTCGCAGACAATTTTTTATGAATGCTTAGGGTCATATGTGCATGACAAGGACCGATCTGTGCATGCATGATTTATTAATCCGTTAAAAATTGCTCTACATATTCGGGGCAATTATTAATTTGCCCTCAGTAATCAGTTTATAAAAATCAGTTTATAGTAATCTGTTTAGTGATCGTTTGATAGCGAGTGCGACCACGTTTTTTGCTTCTGAAAAAATAACGCGTTTTTAAAAACAAGGATCATGATAGCTTCAATCCAGCGTCGTCAATCCAACGAAAACAAAAATACTGAAAAATATAACCAAGGGCGCAGTCATTGTGGAAAGACATTGCGAAGCTTAATTCGTTCAAGACGCGTCGACGTATGCTTAAAGGTAAGTTATATATATTCAATCATCGGAGCACAGGGTTTGTCACTACCTGAAAAAGTGAATTTCTCCATGGCGTGAAAGACAGAGCATCTGAGTCGATAGCATAGTTGTTAGTCACGTCCAAAAATGTTTTATTTTTTGTCAAATTATATAACAACCTCTCATACCATGCAAGCACAGTATTTATATACTGTGAAAGCGTTTTATAATGTAAAAAACAATTATGTTATTGTTAAAAATGAATACATATCGTCTCTAATTACAGCGTAATTTCCCCGCCCTGATACCAAGGTTATCACCATAGACCGAAATCCTCTCTCAAGGAATATATGAATGTTTTTCTCAATGAATATATGAACGACATTCGGGCGCTCATTCCTAATGGGAAGACGAACAGAACACAAACGAATAAGGTTCTATGCATGCAGCTAAACATGGGCTGTTTATACATAATTATTAAATGCTGAGGATTGCGTGGAATGAAGAAATTTGAAAGTATATTTGTTAAGAAAATGGTCCCGGCCTATATGAAAATCATTTATTAAAGCATTGCTATACTGTAATCTACATGACATGTGGCCGGATTACAGACATGTTTTCGGATTACGCGATGTACACAGTGTTATAAACATGCATACGTCATGTTAAAATTAATTACGCGTACATGCATGGATTTTCCTTAACGTATATATGTATATGATTATTTATTATGTAAGGAACGACATGCGTTTGACGTAGCGCGGCAAAGAACCAAGATGACTTTTCAGAATCAACTGTCATCGGATATTTGTTAGGTGGTCTATGTCTATGTCTAATACTGATCAGAATGCCAAGGCGTCTAAAGTCTAAACTCTTGCTAAAAGATAGCTGATGAATTTTAACATTACTTTTGCCATAAACAATCCAGAAGACAGATTGTCTAAGCAATATTGCGAGCATCATTGATATTAATTGAGCAAAACAAATTACTTACAATGCTTAAAAGCTGATTCTCCTAGTAACTTGGAAATTAAAACAACACCATTTTCAACGGAAACAAAATTAGTATTAGCGATACGATTTAATCCTACACTCTAAAAACACTCTGGTTAAATTTAACCAAAATGTGGTTAAATTTTAACTACTTCCCGGGTCACTATTTAACCTAGCATAGTCTGGTTAATTTAACCAGGAAATCCTGGTTGCATGAGATCAACTTGTGTTCCTGGTTAATACTAACCAGGAATTTTGGTTACTAATCTTACACTATCATGGTTAAATGAACCCCATTTCCATCTGGTTAATTTTTCATCAGAATTTAATCATTTTGTTAATTAATTAGTGAACAAACTGTTTTTAAATATTTAGTACATCCCAATGCCTTTACAGCAAAGATACTATAAAATTTTTAGAACACCAAACTCTATAATAAATTTCTACTAATAAATATATCTTCATGCAAATTATTCAATTCAACAGCAACAAGTGCAATTAGAGTTCAACTTTCTGTAACATTCAAAAAACATATGTGAAATTATGGCAACACTTAATTAAGAAACAAAAGACTAACAAGCAAAGTATGCAAAATATTATGGGTGGCCTGTAACTAGATTAGTTATAAACTTGGCAATTATATACTAATTTTAGTATGTTATATACAGCTTGTTACCCAGATCAAATGTTGATCTATTATGCTAGTGATCCATTGCCTGCAGAATTGGTCTTCAAGGCAGCTCTCATTGAGATCACAGCAGGAGTTGTCTTGTGAGGCACTTTGTCTTCTAGACAATATATTGTTTTTTGGATAAACTCCCATGTAGTTTTACATTCCCATGGATAATTGATATCCAAAATGTAAAATAACTTGAAGCAGGTATCAATAGCCTCCAGCATGTTTTTTTTCTCCAATACATTTCCACTTGACACAACAAAAACCTGGTGTGGTTGGCAACAATTTCCAGTTACAAGAATATGGGGGTCATGTTTAGATTCTTCCTCCAAATACTTTGGCATATTTGTTCCAATCTAAATAGACATGGATGTTGGATCGATACATATTCTACACATATAGGCTTAATTGTTTTAGTATAAAATGTAAGAACAATAAATTAATAATTGTCATGGTGGAAATGACTGGATTAGAGGGTACAGTACTATAAATGAATTAATCAGATATCAGTTAATGCAAACAATATTGTGTGCTGACACATCGGCATTCCCTCTCAAGCTGTAATGAACTTTCAATACTTACTGGCTTGACATCAATAAATGCTTTAAGAGCGTCGTCTATGCTACATCGTTTTTTCCCTGTCCGTCCAGCTGGTAAAATAATCGGAAGCACCATTATGGCAGCATTCTGCTTTGCCACTGCATCTACAAAATATTAAGAACAAGATGAACACAACATAACGGCAGTTCTGGAATGTATGGTACTAACCAGTGTTAAGCTGTCTCTCATCAATGCTTAGATATCGTCGCCAATTGGTTTGGTCTGAAGCATAATTGAGAACTTTCTCGGCAAATGACGGAGTCCATTTGAGGAAGATATCTGCCACTGATTCAGGAACAACAATACTGAAGTCCTGCTCAATCTAAAAGGAAATAAAATAAAATTAACTGATGGAATCGAGCGTCATATCGTATAGTTAGTTTCGAAGATCACCAAGGATTCGCAAGTAGGATTATCTGGATTAATTGGCCATATACACTGTATTTACAGTGCAAGTTGGCTTGAATTCCCAAGCACATGGCTTGAAACATTTCATGGAAACATTGGAAGTTTAATTACCAATGAAACTATTAAGATCAAAATGTATCATTGTAGTGTGTGCTTTTTTTATAACACTGAAGAAAAAGCAACAGTGGCGAGAAACAGCAATCTATTTAAATGTAAGAACTGAAGAAAAACTAACTTGCTGTACTTGATCATTAATAAGGTTTCCAAAGGCTAACTGCAGTTCTATGCTGCAGTGGCGAGTGAGAATATTTTATTACGTGTCAGTACCAAACTAAATACTCACCATTCCCGCTGTATCGAATAACCTGGGATGCTCTTTCACTATGTCAGACACTGAAAGTTCTGAATGTTCTCGAATCCATGAAGCTCTTTTAATTGCAGTTTTTTTCAAAAAGTCTTTTATTTTGTTCAATGGCTCAATGTGATATTTCAGCCACTCTACCATTCCTTCATATTCATCAATGCTAATATTGCTTTCTGCAAAATATATAAGGCTTTGTTAATGTATAGTGTAAAGTGCCGGCAGTGAAGTCTGCGACTCTACATTGCATAAGAACACAGAAGTGAAATCTTTTCAGTATATTGAAATTATAATGTATGTAGAGCCTTAACCAGGACATCTATTAAAATCATAGATCTGCATGGCGATGGACAGAATAAACTGGGAAATGTTGTGTCAATGTATATATAAGCAATAAACCAGCAATTTGAGAATAACGTACCTGCAGGCAAAGAAGCAATTTGTACCAGGTTTGAATGTGGCGCTGACAATATGTTTGATGAACATATTGATGTTGTCTTTTCTTTGTTAGTTCTTCGTCTAACATTTCTCAATTTTTCCTCCAACCAACCAGTTGCTGAATGGATTCCTCTACCAGGGGTGTACCATGCTTCCTAAATGGAGACAAATTAGGTTAGTTTAATGACATGAACTTTTATTCGTAGTGGCTTTATAATGACAAAAGGTTTATAGTTCCTACAAAGGAATAGAAAAGTGCATTTAGACCACATATTTAATTAGATATGGCAGTATTTTGAGGGTTCATTGCTAGTCTGTAAGGATTAACGTCTCTTAATTGGCCAATTAAATATAGTCTGATGTTAGTGTAAAAACTTACAAAGCCTTCACCTTCCTCATCTTTGAGGAAAGGAAACTCATTCACAACAGCTTTTGCCATTGAAATTTTCACATCTGCCTTTGGTCTAGAAAGAAGTCATTGTTAATTGTCTACTAGAACAAAGTATTTATAATCGCTTTGACACACAGGAATGACATATTATATTAATCTATTTAAACAGACATACCTGTCCCCAAATCTTGTTATAATCTCAGCAACCAAAATCTGGACCATTTTTAATCTGTTTTTGCGGGAAAGTTTTTCACTTTTCAATTCCATTAAAATTTCTTCTCCAAGACTTGAGCTTTCAAGTATGGTCTTTATGCTCTGAATAACAAGGAAATATTATAATGACCAAATATATGCATTGCATATTAAATCAGCAATAATTAGTTTAACTTATATGGCAGCAATAATTAATTTAACTTAATTTTGAACTTTATTTTGATCTCATCTTTGAAAAATTTACCCCCTGAAATACCAAAAACATTTAAAGTAAAATAAGTTTTTACTTACAAATTCAGCCTTGAACTTTTTTGGGGAAAACTCTTCATTATCATTCAAGGATGCCGGCTGTAAAAAAATGCAGAATGACAAATGAGATAATAAAGAGAGTTAACATTAGGGTAATATGGTTATAAACGTATATAGTACTGTATTTAACTTAATAAAAAATCACTTTATGCACTAGTAAATGCCAGAAATTGTCCAAACTTTCTTTGATGCCCTTATAGTTTGGAGTATTATTTGTTGGAGTATTAATTAATTGTACATATAAATGTACCATACCAGTACATGATTCTTAATTGTGCAACTTTTTGATCCAGGGCTTATTTCAACTGATAAATTATCAGATGCATTTGGAGTATCTCTGCTTTGAGCTTGTAGCATCTAAAATTGAAAGGAGAAATAACTTAGACAACTTATAGATGATTTACTTTACAGACACCTTGTCAAAAGAGTAAACATCATATAATTTTATTAGTGCTTTACACTGCTCTGTATCTGTACGTGTCATATCTGTTCAATATTCTTTTGGTGTGATGACTGTGATCAATCATTGAGAAGTGGGATATGAAATGACAGGGTAGAATGACCTTGCCATTTACTTGTAAATATATCACCAACTATAATCAGGCACTGTTCTTAAATACATACTGTAATTAATTGAAATACTTTGCAGAAGACGTTGTTGGGGTATAAACCAGGAAGTTGAGGGCATGAAACAACATGCTAAAGCACCTACCAAGGTATTCTATGGCGTAGGGTAACATAACCCAAATCATCTCCTTTATACGATTTAGAAGCATGGTATGTATGGTGATCAACTAAATCTTGCACTGTTGTAATAGACCACATTCCATTTTCAATTGGCTTAACAACATAAGTGTGAGTATGACGGTCAAACTTAATAGTACTCCAAGGAAGTGTAACAAGCCTAATATCAGCAGGTCCCATACTTATGATATAAATGATCTGCTGAAACATAGGAAAGGAGTCATCTGATTTGGCAGTGATGACCAGAGCATTTTTATTGTACTTTATCCCATTCACTGTTACCCATTTGGCAACATACACTTCACTAAGAGGATGAACACCAATTGTTCTGCTCAAAAATTCTGTGTTATCAAGAGAAAGAACCAACATAGAACACCCTGAACCAATTTCAATGTTAGTGTCTGCGATCCCTCCAGACATGAGATTGTAACATAAGAACATCTGTTGTCTGTATGCTAGTGTTTTAAGGATGTTCCTATAATTACACACGATGTGGCCTAGACGTTTGAAGAATCTGTGCTTAGCCTCGAATCGCATGGTCCAGAAATTGACAAGTGGTCCTAGTTGTCGGATTTGGCTGGGGTAATGAGTCATGAAGTGATGCTTCGGTTTCAAATGACGGTTCGGGTACAATTGAAGGAAGAGGCTGTGATGATCTTTAATCAAGTGCTTCACAAATAAAGATTCCTCAGTGGTAATTTCGTGACTAAAAATAAAATCCATACACTCCAACAGAAGAAGAATGAGCTCTAGATGCTCATTACCTTCTGGAACTAAGTCACCGATTAATAGAGGTAGATAACGAATGAGGCACCACATCTGAGCTGCAGTCTGCCCTGATGCACCGTCTGGATTTTGAATCTTATTACGCATGATCGGGGAGGGCTTGTTCTTGGAATCACTAGGTGCATAATCAAAGCTCATTATTCTGCTGTTAAACAAATCCAGGTCAAAAAAGCCAGAGTTAATTAAATCGCCAATAACAAGGTGAACTTCCAGCCCACAAACTCCCTCTAACAAGTCATGCATTACATCTGGAGTGTAATTTGTTGCTACGTGAAAGTGTTCCAGATTATTTAGAAGACATGTTGCTTTAATGCCAGTACATGTTGGATTATTCTTCTCCAAATCTTCTTCATAATTCGCATGGTTACGCCGCATATCTGCATTTTCTGTTAAAGCACGGCGCATTTCTTCTAGGTGCATTTTACAATTTCTACAGAAATGGTGGCTGATGAAACTCTCAACGAAGCCACAAATACCATTAAGGCCTAAATTGTCGCCGGTCACCTGAGCAACTCCTACATGAACCGTTCCCTCAAAGATTTCCGTGCTGATGTACAGTCCATCCCTCTCTAATCTTGCAAATCTTTAACAAGTGGTTCCAATATACAATTGAACCCATAGGTTTTTACATCTCCTGTGTTGTATAACGCAAACTAAATAACAATTTGATAACGAGGAGCGAAATTTGGGTGGCAGGTTTAATATTGTGCAGTAAATCACTCCAATTTTGTGCATCCCAGCCCTTGAACCTAGGGGGTTAGCAATTTCGCAATCGTCAACATATAGTAGAATGGCAATGTTCTTAGAATTTGAAAAGAACAAATGTCCTCGGCAGAATTCACCATCATGAAAGTCCCGCATTATACCATCAGTGCTAGGTTGATACTCCTGAATTGCCCTCATAAATCCTCTACTTTCTAAGACATGCTTCAGTAATTGCTTCAGAGGAACGTACTGAAAGGTCAGATGTTTAGCAACCTGATCCACATGTGACGAAGCTGGATTGTGACGGGGATGAAATGCAACAGCAAAAGGTATTTCGATGGGTTTTACAAAATACCCACTATCAGTAAAGTATTTTTGTTGTTGATACGCAGTTTCCAAGTTCTCATAAGGATATTGAAAACTTCTAAATGTTTCGCATAGCTCCTGCCTTTCTGGATCATTTTTGTCGACACCTTTGCTATCCAAAACTTGTTCAGTTTTAGTTTTCAGTGACATAACAACATTTGAAAATAATTCTGCACTCTCTTGAACTACATGATCCACTGTTGCTTGAACAACGCTACTAGACGCCTTTAATTTGGCAATTGTGGTGGCCGCAAGCTCAGTTATTTTTTCTTTACTTATTGCAGTATCAACATCGTTCATAAAATATGTTGGGTCAAGGGGATTCTCTCCTGGATCACTATTTTCATCACTATTACCATCATCTACCTCTGGGATTAAGTTTAGAGCACTTTTATGTTTGTTCTCGATATGTCGTTTGAGAGCCATTGAGTACCGAAATGTCTGCAAACACCCATCTTGGCCACAAGTAAACGGGCCAGTGAAAGTCGCACCCGTTAAGAGGCATGTCGATTTCTAATATGCCAAATAAGGAGTTCGCTTCCCAATAACTGATTGATTACATATGGAACAGATATAACCCATTGTTTGCCTGGTTTAAATAGTTTTCTATGAGTAGTTCAGTTAAGCGTTTATTTCAGTTCAAATATGCTTTATACCTTTTCTTCTTGAAGCTTGTATAAAAGCTTTTGTCGCGGTCCAATAGCGGAGACCATTTCTTTGACTGTCTCTTCATTGAGTAAAAGGAGGGATTCTTGATCAATCATGTTTTCTGAAAAAATATCCAATTGTAAAAATATGTTACCTTCCAAATCAGGCTGAAACTGAAGTTCAAATTGGTATTAAAATGCCAATGCCACCAATGGGCTAAAGTGGCGTTTTGTGACTTACGTTTTGGAAAATGCCCTTAAAAACTCTGTGTAACGGCTTAGACTGAATTACAGCACATGTTAAAATAGTACCACGTAGTTTGAACATTACCAATTATTAGCATTTGTCAATGAGAAATTGTTTAAAAACGTATATTTTTTATATTTTTCATCGCTTTTCATTATTCAGTAAATGACTTCCAAATATATGAAGTGTTTTAGTTGTGGTTGTAAATGCGGAAAAAAAGAAACAAAAAACAAAAACCTTACCTTCAAATACATTTTCAAGACAAGAAAGATTCCACTCCTCAAGTTTTTTTTTAACAAAGGGATCCATTTATGTTAGATTAAAGTGCTATTCGGCTGAAAAGACTTCCCGATGACAAGTGTTTGTAAAAAAAAACTAAGAAAATCTCGGGAAAAGCGCGAAAATAGCTTATCCGATCGGGATTACTTACTTCGAATAACCTTCTCAAGTCTCATTGGTTTGTTCGCATATGGGATATATTGAAGTACCGGAGAAAGTGTTCGAGAGGAAATGGTCCTATAGCGGGGAAAGATTCCCGAGCATATCTTATTTTACCTTTTTCCTGGTAAATTTACATATCGTATTTCATGTTAATACTCATCTAACATCACACTTCATACAGAGTCTTAATATAAAGATTAAAACATGAAAGTTCTCATCGAATACCCAAATATACTATCGCACCCCATGTATCTCGAGTGGTCAGATGAACAACATTTACAACAAGGTAATATATTTATATTTATGCCCAGTTCTGTTCTCGATCAGAAACATTATTTACCTACTTAATCAGGGACAATTGGTCTTCTTGGTCTAGCTCCCTCAGAGCAAACAGAGCAAAAAATATATATGGAATTGTTCAAGGTGACCTTTTCATAAATTTCATGGAATATGTAGTCATGTAGAGGGTACATAAGCAATTTAAAACTGTATGGGTGTACAGCTAGGGCCTTTTTAGAGACCTTTTGTCTTGGGGGGGGGTGAAAAAAAATATGTACCTGTAATAGGTAGTTTTAGGGGGGTCCCTCCCCAAGAAGATATTTGTATTTTGGAATCTGTGCATTAATTTCTTGCATTTTAATTTGGGGGACAATTCTTGATGTGTCCCATCTAAACAGAATGAGGTTTGTTGTACGTGATGATATCATACCTTTTTCTAAAGGCCCTACTGGAAAGTGTCGACTTAGAGACATATAGAGTTGGGGGTGCATCTGGACTCCTCTTAGGATATATTTGTATTTATATTCTGACAGACTGTAGCTTTATTTCATGCATTTTGGGGATAATTGTTTTTTGTCCCATCCAAACAGTGTGAGGTTTAACTGTTATCAAAATATCATTACTCTCTTCTTATCCAGTTATTTACCCACTTTTTTCTATTTTCACTCAAGAGGGACCTTTACTTGTAATGGGGTGGCACAAGAGGCTAGGGGGCATTTTCCCCTTTAGCCTATAATATTATCTGATCTAAAAGGCCCTGTGCGGCTATGCTCAAAAATGGTTGCAAGTTTTCTTTGGTGGAATGTAGTCTAATTTGTTATATTGGTACATGCATGTGTGTATGTAGGAATATATGTGTAGGAATTGAGTTGCACAGGCTGCAGATTATATTAAATAAGAATATTTATATTAATTTATATATATAATTGGGGTATAATACATTGTATTAGTTAGTCTATTTTCAGAGCTAGAGGGAACCTAATTCAGTGTGCCCTATTTATTTCTTTGACACATGCCAGGGGATTCTATTTGTCAATAGGGAAGCTCTGGGGCTTAAATTAATTTACTAAAAAAAGATAGGAATGTCTCTATTTAACCAATAAATTGACAATAGCAATAAGACCCAATTTTTTGCTTAGTTTTACCCTGTCTTGTGCTTGCAGTTGCAGACATGTTTACTTGGCAGATACTCTCATCCACCAGCATAGGAATGTCTTGAAAATTGGGGGGCCTGAAGTTCACAAGGTGCTCCCATGGTTGGCACCAAGCGAGAAAAATTTTGAAATTTGATTGCTTTAGATCTGCTGAAATGCCCATTTCAGAGTCTACTATTACTACAACCTATAAATAATTTCCAATACTCAGTTTGATCGAATTTCAAGGCTTGTTCTTCAAGGCTTGTTCTTCTTGGGGGGTTCGAAATATATTCCAGCCCCCCATATATATTATTGGGGGGGGGGGGCTGCGGCCCCTGGCCTCCTGCTTCCTACGTCCCTGCTTTCAACTACGACTATATAAGTGCGAAAGCCTTTGTAAATTATCAAAGCAAGATGACTGGTGCAAATATTATGACAATATATAATATGACTGATGCATGACAAATTTATCTGCATGGTCAGGAATCAATAATAGAGTTAATTGCATTTTCTAGCTGTTATTAAGCCAGTTGTGTGTACTACCACATATCTGTTGTTTTTTCTAATGTCAAGGACATGGTTATAAATGAAAGCAATTTTAAATGCATTAATTTCACTTAATTTTTTATTTTCTCCTCCTTAATGCAGTATACAGTAAAAGCTACTATTTTGTTTAGAGCTGGTATTTTTAAGTTTAACGCTAGAAAGTTCAGTTGGCAATGTGGTTAAGAATTCATGAATCCCAAAATTCTCAAGTGACAACTCGTTTTGTTTGTCATCGCGACTCTGCACCAAATTTCTTGAATAAGAATCGTTATAAAAAGAACCGGTCTTAAAGTTGACAAGTGGTCCTTTTTCGGCTCAAATTTGTGCGTTAAAAAAAAGCGAATTGCAGACATTAGGACTGTTTGTTAAAATTAAAAAATTCAAAAACACGGGCCGCCATTTTGCTTTGTTGTTCCAAATGATTATGTCATTTTCATTAACCAGGAACGCGGTTAGGCCGCGTATTTCTCGTTTACGACACGAAAACCAACCACGAATTCTTACCAGGAACACTTTTTTAACCATAATAGGGTTATTTTTAAACTAACCAGGAAATTTTAACCAGATCGTTTTTAGAGTGTAGCCATGCCAGAATATATATTTCATTTCAATTAAATTCGCCATATTTTATTATTTTCCCAGGTATTTTTTGTTTTCCTGACTATTCCCTGGTTCATTTTAACCATGTTCTTCTCCATATTCGACACGAAATGCATCATCTTGGAACATGCTTCAGTGGTAAACTGCACCCAGAATTTCCTCACGGCAAACCCGGAACAATGGGTCCTCATTTGGCTTATGGTGTCCGTGCTTTCTTCATTAATTTTTATCCTTATCGTTTTCTCGAACCACAAGAAGTTAAATTATCAGAGTAAAAAAGCGCGGAGAATTTACAAGAAAGGATCATTCGGATCGTTGATATTCCTTCTCCTCGTCTCATCGGTGTATTATTTCATTCGCATTTTCACGAGATCAGACAAAACCAGCATAACAATCTCAATTCTTTTATTCCTTTCGCCCTTTGTGACTGTCGTGATTGTCTGTTGTGTAAATTACTTACCTCGTGTACATTGGCAGAACACTGGCTTGACAGTTTACGCTCTCAGAACAATCGTGTGGTGGAAAGATTGTTTTAGTAAGAATTCGAATTTCATCATCTACTGGTTGGCTCTTTTCATGTATTTTGTCGAGTTGACCTGTAGAATTGTAGCCATTATGCTTGACATAGCTCATGATGTGGCCCCCCTGGTGCAAAACAAGTTTTCTAAGGAATCTGGAAAATATCGGGGGGTGACGGTCATTGTGATCGGTTTCTGTTTGGCTTTTTACGTCCGCTTGCAGACCTTCTTCTGGGAAAAACTTTTCCATGGTGAAAAAGATCTGTTTTCAGAGCCGGATTTGAAACTGATAGAGGAACCACGTGTACGTGTGCATGGGCAAAGACAAAAACATGATGAAGTGGAAAAGCGAGTACAGTTGGACGAAATTGTTTGCGCATAAGAGTACGGAGACGATGCATTCATTCATTACGTAGTATACGCTGCTATTTTGTGTGATTTTTTATGGGAATGAATCTCATATTGTAATATTGAAATTGAGTGAATCTCATATTGTAATTAATAATCATTCGAATACAAAGCCTCACTTTGATATTTTGAAAAATAATTAAGTAATTTCCAGTAATTTGCCATGATTTTCTGGAATAAACATTTCACTTAGAACTGTTAAGTAGTGCATCATTGTGATTGTTAAAGCGATAATAATTATTTGGCTTCCTCTGAATTGTGTGTAATCAGGCACAGCTAATTTGATTTGTTACGATTGACGGGCTGCGATAGTCAACGGACTGCTATTAATTTTTTAATTGAAATGCGTTTCATGCGTTTAGTAGTTTAAATGAGCTTGCTTTATTTTGCGTGTTCCTTCTTCATAATTGACCATGTCGTTTCACCTGATTTTAATTTTGGGCCGGGAATCTTTAAGACTTTTCAAATAACTTAGATTTCTTTGTCGCAAGGAAAGAAAACAAACGTAATTATACTAAAACGTTCGGATTATTTAATCAGTGTCTGGATACTTTCACCTTCACAATTGCTAAAAAAAGCGAGTTTAAGGCTCCTCAATCTTGCATGCAGTGCAGTGGATGAGATAGAAAAATCATTGCTGCTAAATTAATACTACATATTCCATAAATAAATGATATTAACCGGCTTCGGAAAACTCACAGGTCAACACGGGCGTTCAAGGAAAATATATACTGTTCCATATATATTTTGCCAAAATTAACTTTCTTGGGAAAAGGAAGATATTCCAACACATCGTAGCCCCCTTTTTTGGCATTTCATTTTAACTTCTAAATATGCTTCATATAGTCGACTCTCAAAATGTGTTAAAGACGCCATCTTTTAAATTTCAATATATTGCACACTTTATAACAATTACTACTGCAGTATTTGCAGTATCTATACCGCAGTATCTGGAAGTGTTAAGGCCCACACAGACCGGACGCGATTTGGCAACGCGGCGCGATTTTTCAAAGTTTTTCATTTTCCAAAAGCAAATAAATTTTGAACTATCATTAAATTGTTGTAGATTACTTAACGATAACACATTTTGACTGCTCTGGCGGCCATAGATTTCAATTTTTGCTTCCAGAAATTAATTTATGTGCTCCTAAAAACTGAAAATTCGCGTCGCGTTGCCGCACCGCGTCCGGTCTGTGTGGGCCTTTATAATAAACTAATTTTCTTCAAAATCTTTCGAGATTGAAGAATTTATGGAAATCTTAATCACCCGCACTTTCGG